AATGTTGGAGGAACAGGATTCAGATATTGTTACAAGATGTGAAAAATGAGAACATTTTCCTTAGACAGCCACAACTGCTTACTAAAGATTAAAAGCCTCGTGCTCGATATCCTTATGAGATACTATGCTCAGAATGTGATGTGAATGATTCTCAGCTACCACTGCATCACATTTTAGCTCAATATCTGTTAGCCGGACAGAGTTAGGCATTTTATCACCTTACCCTTGTTTTAAATGCAGATAAATGGAAGGTGATGCTGTTTTCCAATGGGAGATTTGAAAGTAAAGATCTTCCAGTCATTACTACAGCTGAAGGTCTGAAAATTGAAAAAGTATCACAGTAGAAATATTTAGGATTTTTAATAGATGATTCTTTGTCTTTTGTCTTTGTCATTCAACAACTGGTGAAGAAGATGAGATTAAATTTGGGATTTTTTTTCAGGATCAGATCCTGTCCATCTTTTGAGGCTAGAAAGTGACTGGTTGATGCTACTTTTATGTCTGTACTGGACTATGGTGACATTTTATACATGCATGCTTCTCTTAAATGTCTTTATTTATAACAGGTTTAAAAGGTTTTACCCATCTGATATAGAAATTATTATTTTAATGCTTTTATGTCAATCTAGACCTATATTACACTTATTTAAACACACTTATACAACGTGTTATTCACATATTAGGGATTGTATTTTGTATTATGTGTTCAAACATATACTTTGTGTGTGTGTGTTGCTTATAATATTTAGACACTCTTTGATGGTTTGCAGAAGGGACGAGGAGTGCTCTTTAGGAATGCTTTAATAAGCATTAGGAGTGCTCTTGACCTGGAAGCTTTGGCCCGCTTTTACGGTCACAGGCGCTCCTTAAAGGATGAGCCATCGCTTTTGATGATGGTTTAATTAGATCCGTTGTTCTGGTAACCATCAAACTTGCTTTGATCTGCTCTCACGCGATCAGGGAAGCCTTTATAAGAAATGTATCAGACAACAGAGAGTTGGAAGTCCTGTGATGGATCAGACGCGCGCTGAATGCCATGCACCAATTTTGATGTGATTCTTCTTTACCTGGGTCGAAAACGACTTCCCGGCCAGTGTCACGGTGAGAAGTTATTTCATATCAATCTGTGTTAAGAGTGTACGAGTGTACATGTTTGTTTTTTGCTCGGTTGTTCTCTGTGGCAGGATAATAAAGGACACTAATTTATCCTAGCAGTGACAGCTTTTGTCTTTTATTTTTTCCTTCTGGTCTGAATATCTGTGCCGACCGTTTCACGAGCCCTTTTGATAAAGAATTTCATAATACACCATCATTGCACATTATACAACTGGGTTGGATGGACGGCCTTGGCCACTCGTAGACTCCGCCATTGGCATATTTTTATTTATAAGGTCATACTAGGTCTTCTTCCTTTGTATTTTTTGGCCTTTATAAAGAGAAAGTCCACTGGAGGATACTCTCTTTGTTGTGAGAACTTATTTTTACTTTCAGTGCCTAAAGTCCGAACTGAACTTGGAAAGAAATCTTCAGTTTTCTGCTCCATCTTCTTGGAACCAGTTGCAGAAATACATGAACCTAACGGAGCTGTTGTCACTTCATGTTTTTAAGGCTGTTCTTACTGATTTTGAGAAGGAATCATCTGTAAATGTTTTAACTGAGGAATCTTTTAATTAATTTGTTTATGACGGAGTTAACTTTTTCTATTTTTGCTGTGAATGTTCTGTAACCTGGTGTGCTGCTGCCAGTCTTGGCCAGGATCCTCTTGCAAAAAAGATTTTTAATCTCAATGGGATTTTCCTGGTGAAATAAAGGTTGGAAAAAAAATTTGTGTTGACTAATATTGATTAGTTGTGGTAGCCATCTTGAATTCAACTGACTCCAGAAGGAAATCAGTTATATTTGTTTATTCAATTAATATTTCCTGAACGTTTACTTAAAATCTGTTTAGTGGCTCAGGAGATATTTTGGTAACAGACAGGGACACAAACGCCTTCCCACACATGGACATGGTTTTCCTTTCGACAGTGGGCGACAACAAGTGTGCATTTTTAAATGCACAAGTAAAGAAGCTTTCTGTGTTTACCTCGAACATCTCTTCTGGGATCTGTGGGTCTGTGAGGCTCTCCAGTAGTTACCGTGGTGAGACTTTTGGGCACATTTGTAGAAAACACGTTGCGATGAGGAGACCTCCTGCGTGGAGGACATGTCTGGGCCTGCATCTTTTCAAGCATCTCTTGTTTATGGAGAGCAGAATCCAAAATCTATGAGAAGTAGAGATATTTACCTAAGGAGTAAAGGTCTCACAGTTTTCACTTGAAACTGTTGATATCTGCACAAATAAACAACTCTGAAACAGATTATAAAGGAACAAAATACATCAGAACTGGTCTGTTACTTTATGCCCCTCACCTCCAGTTTCTGCAGAATATCAAGAGCTATCTCGGGCACAGCTGAACCTTGGTCCACTTCAACTTTGGCTGAGCACAGAGAGAGCTGACGAATCAGTTGGCTCAGTTCTTTATAGTGAGGGGGTACCTTGTTATAAGATAGATCTGAGAGCTGCTGGATGATAACTTGTAAGGCCCTAAATGCTCCACGGTGGGCAGCTGCAAGTCTGTTTATTGCAGTGGACTGAATAGAAGGAAAAAAAAAGATGTTAAAATTGATCATTCTGACTTTTCCAATCAGTAAAGACAAATAAGCTAAACCAATTAAATAAATTTAACGAAAAAATATACTTCCCATCATAGGCATATTTGCATACAAAATAGAAAGATTGTTTTAGAATGAGTAAAGGTTAAACACAGATTTCACTTTATTTTACAATGTATTATTATTTAAAAAATAAATAATTAAATGATGACATTGAAGTAAACCTTGACCACTGCTGAAGACATACGGTACCTTTTTGGTGTCCCACATTTTTTCTCTTTGTAATTTTTCAATATCGTCTTGTATCTCTTTTATCTAAAATAAATTTGATGCAAATGTTTTTAAAAATCCAAAGCAAATTTAAATATTGACAAAAGTATATATTTCAGTTGCATGCTGTACGGTTTTTAATACCTGTTGTTGAAGAACATAAATGACTTGTGCTGAGCGAGCTGCCTGTTTCTGCCTCCGTATCTCCAGTTTGCTTTGCTCTTCGGGTTCCAGTGGTTCCTCCATTTCCCGTCCTATTGGTTAAAAAAGAATGATATATCAACAAATTTGCAAATGTGATTTCACCAAACATGGTTTAGTTCAAAACAACATATCTCAAGGCACTTTACTGAAAGAAAACCACAAATAAATTATTAGCAACTGTGATTAACTTTATATAACATAAAAGTAAGAAGTTTTTATTATTGTTACCTGTATTAGCTAGCTCTTTCACTTTCAGGATATATCTTTCTAACTCTATTTGCAGTTTGTGGATCTCGTTGCTTAAAGGTGTTTGTTTACTTCCTTGCACCTGCTTCAGGCCAGGATCTTTGGTTGGAGGAGAATAACCAAAACGAGGCATTGAAGAAGTGACACTTTTCTTTGAAGTGTGCTGTTTGGCACCAGCGTGAGCCATTTTTTCCTTTGGACTAGAGCTCTTCGCCTCTTTTTTGCTAGGTGTGGCTATGAGCTCCTGTAAATAAAAGGAAATGCTTCATTTAGCCATTGAACCAACAAAAAAGACAAAACCTTTAAACACTCAAAGACAAGATAGTCTTTAGTTGTAATAATACAAAAAGTACCATTAATACCTGAAGCAACTCCACATCACTTGTTTCAAAGAGGGAGGACTCTTGCAGAGGTTTAGAAGAACATTTTCTCAGTGACTCAATACGTCTTCGTCTTAGATCCCTCTTGGCCAATTTGACTGCAGCGTGAAGCCTTTCCTCAGAGAGTGTTGCAAAGCTGACAGAGCTCCTGGCATTGTCTACTTTCTCATACATCCTTGATTGTGGAAGCAGCCTCTCTATCACAATGGGGGCTGGAGGGCCAACACGGGTGGCACGGTTGACAACAAGTGCAGGAATGGCTTCATTGAATAATAGCTGTAGTGTGAAAAATGTAAAAAAAATAATAATAATCAAAAACAAATTGTGTATCCTGTTAGTTTGACCACACTAATACACTTGGTATAATAACCTACATTCAGTACAATGAAATGATACATGGCAACAATGAATCTTATGTAACCAATGTTTGATTAAGCTTTAGAGGATGTAACATGAGCAACAAACAGGCACAGTGCCAGACAGATACTAAAAATCTCACTTTTGCATGTTACATATTTACAGTTTAAACACAACTATTAAGACATTGAGAGGGTTTAAAGTAAATACTGAACTGGTATCAAAAAGCTAAATTCAATAACCTAGCAAATAGGCAAAATAAATAGTTGTTTACCTTCGTCTGAGACTTCCTATTATTATTTGCATTTCGAGTTGAGTCTACAGCAACCCACTCTCTGGCTTGACTTTGTTGCCCCATTGATATAATGTGACCATCCCGCACAAACTGTGCAGTCATTGCAGCGAAAACGTCCACAACCTGTGACAAAACTGTAAACAATTTTTGAACGTTAGCATTAGCAAACTAACGTCGCCTCTGAATTTGAATTCGCGGACATCAAGTTAATTCCAAAATCGTCCATTCGACCATTTTGTCTTCACTTATAACTACTTCATCGCGTTGGTAGGATAATTATAAGCTATCGCTACGGACATGGTGCTTAATGTCTTAAATATCAGTAAAGACTTGACAGCAGTTTTGAATCGGCGCCATGACAACAACAGACGGAAGTCGTTTCTTCTTCTACTACTACTTCCTCTTCTTAGACGAAAGTTGTTTTTATTATTATTATTATTATTATTATTATTAATAATTTATTTTTTACATAGGCTATTGATAATGTATTATAACCAAAACTATAAGCTACTGAATGTATAATAAATATTTAAATTCATTTTAAAACGAAATTGTTTGGAAAAAGGTGCGCGGTCACTTTAAGAACCTTTGCCCAGTTTGGAAGCACTTCCGGGTTGAAGGTCCAGCGTCAAAGGAGAAGCGTAGTTTCATTTAAAAAAAAGAAGCTGGGTTAGGGTTTAATTTTATCCAAATGGCTCGTTACGAAGAAGTGAATGTTCACGGCTATGGTGAGTTCTGTCAGGCTGTGTCTGATCGGAAGGGGAAGGATGTTTTTGTTTATTTTTCAGGTGATAAAGACGCTGAGGGGAAGAGCTGGTGTCCAGATTGTGTGACAGGTAATTTGTCTCTAAATGCTTTCACTAAATGTTTTAAACGCATTGTTTTGGCCCGTGTATAAGTAGTTATGTAAGAGGAAGTATATTATTTAGCAGTATAATTGATTTGTAACTTTTCATTACTCATTTACCTTTTTTATTTTCATATTCAGCTGAGCCAGTAGTCAGAGGACAACTGACTCACCTTCCTGAGGATTCAGTTTTCATTTATTGTCAAGTTGGAGAAAGAGCTTAGTAAGTTTTCACTTCATTACCACAAATAATCAATGATGCTATGATTAATCTAAGACCTTAGAGCTTCAATAAACATATCTTTCTAACCCTAACAGTTAACTTCATTTTAAGACTATATTCAAACACACATGTTGTTCCTGAAGTGAAACAAGATGTGAATATTATCAATATGCATTTATGGTCCAAACAAGACAATAACACAACACTGTGTGTGAAACATAAACAATCAAATTATTCCTAAATTATAAGAATAGCATTCTTAGTTTAATAACATGAAATAATTTTTAACACCTATGGTCATGCACTGATAAATTACTTTTTTTTCGTTGTTTTTGGGACAGGGGTATTTTTGCGTATTAAAACGTTTTAAAGTGTTTAAAGTCTTAAATGTAAACATTGTGATCAAATCTTTATACTTTCAGGCTCTGAAACCATATTTTTGCTTCATTACAAGATGTTTACTCGTCTTATTGTGAGAATGTTTATGAAGCGTTCACTCTATTGTGATCCATTTTTCTTTCCGTACGTTTTTTGACATCTTTTTTTGTTCCACAATTTTCGTGCTAGTTCAACAAATCAAATCAAAATGTTCAGCTCATTCAGGACAATCCTGCTCTGACTTTTGGTATTGGTGCAACTTTAGCTTTTTGAAATATTTAGCCTTTACTGCCATTTTTTTTTTCTCCTAGACAATGAATTGAGCTCATTTTACATCCTTTAAATCTTTAGATCTGTTTACAACCTTTTACTGCTCCTTTCACATTTTGTTCTGGTTCAGCTTCTTTCAGCTTCCTTGTGCAAATTTAAACATTTTTCAGCTAACTTCAGCTGTTTTGTGCATTTCAGCCTTTCCTGCTATTTCAGATACTATTTAGCTGTTTGAAGCAAATTCCACATTTTTGGCACTCTAGACCTGTTTTCAGCCTAATTCAGCAAATATGTTCTCTCTCTCCACTTCCTTCTGGTACATTTAAGCTTCTTTCTGCCTTTTAGCTACTTTTCAGCAGTTTTTTTGTTTGTTTGTTTTTGCTAATTTCAGCTTTTATCAGACAATTACCACTTCTTTGTGATCATTTATGCTTGTTTCAGCCAAACTGGGCAAACATGTTCTTTCTGCTTTCTTCTGATAATTTAAGCTTGTTCTACCTTTTCAGCTACCTTTTTAGAAAACTTAGCTAATTTTAACTGTTTTCAGATAAATTCAAGTTTTTTGTGGTAATTTCTGCTACTTTCAACATAATTAAATTCTTTGTTAATTTAAGCTTGTTATGCTCCTTTCTACGTTTTTCAGATAGTTTAAGCTTTTTCTGCTATTTCTTCTAATATTTAGCTGTTTTATGCAAAATTTAGCTTTTTCAGCTAGTTCAACATTTTGTAACATTATACATTCAGTAACTTGTAGTAATTCAACTTTTTTTTAGCTTGTTTCAGCTCTTTCCATTTCCTTCTCGTAGGTTAAGCTTCTTTCTGCCTTTTCAGCTACTTTTTACTTTCAGATACTTTTTTACGTGTTTTTTGCTTATTTTACCTGTTTTAGCTGATTTCCTAAATGTGCTAATTTTTGCTTATTTAAACCTAATTCAGCAAATATGCGTTCTTTCTGCTTTATTTTGCTCATTTTGGCTTGTTCTTTCATTTCAGCTACATTTCAGCATTTTTTTAGCTAATTTCAGCTGTTTTTCAGCAAGTTCTTCAGCAATAAGCATTCAAACTGCATTTTTGCAGGAAATGCAGTTTCTCTAGTTTAAGTTGCGGTAGCTTGGTGGTCCGTGCCGCAGCCTTGTGATCCTGAGGTTGCGAGTTTGAGCCCAGGTTGCGTGAGGAAGGGCATTCAGCGTAAAAAAAAATAGCCGAATCTTTCATGCGAGTCCCCTCGCTGTGGCAACCCCTGAAGAAGTGAGCAGCTAAAATAAACTCATAAGATGTTTCTTCTTAAAAACCACGTGGCTCACACTGATGTTTTTTCCCCCGTAATGCGAAACTTAAATGTCTTTTTACGTTTGGTGTTTCAGTTGGAAGGATCCTCACAATGACTTTAAGAAGAACCTGAAGTTGACTGGAGTTCCCACCCTGCTGCGATACGGCACAGTAAGATAATGACATTAGCTCGTTAATTTAGCGCCCAGATAATCTAAAGTCAGTTGAGATTTCCAACGTAGCTTCACGTTGTTTCCTGGGTGTTTTGTTGAAGAGCACCCGCTGCAGTGAGACGTGTTGTCTGTTTCAGCCTCAGAAGCTGGTGGAAGAAGAGTGCTTCAAAGCAGAGCTGGTCAGGATGATGTTCACCGAAGACTGAAGCCTCCTTCGGCTGCTCGCGTCGCTCGTGAAGGAGCCGACGTTTCTGATTAAAGTTTTACACCAGTCATTTTCCGCACTTGTAATTGCTGAATGTTGATAATCTCCTGACCGGCTTACAAACAAATCAACGAGCTGTCTGATCAGTCCAATCGTGACGCAACGTAAAGGACACGTTTAACTTTTTGTTATCTTTGTGCAATCACATCATGGTGGATTTAAAATAAAAAAGAAATAAATGCTTGGAAATTTTGATGCTGAGATAATTTTTCATTAGATTTTGTCACCTCTAACCTTAAAAGAAGTGATGTTTGCTAATTGATTTTTATTGTTGTTGTATATAAACCTCAGTTCAAAGGTTTCAGGAGTTGACAAAAATGTTTTTTTGTTTTATTTAATTTAATTTAATTTTTTTACTTAACATCAGTGGTCTCCAAACTTTACAGCTTCCATGCCACACAACAACTGTTTCAGGTCAAAATGTGTAAACTTTGCAAATAAGCCAAATTATAAGAACATGATAAAAAATTTAAAATTATTGTTGTTATTGTTTAAAATTGTTAAAACAAGCTGTTTTAACAACTAAAATAGTATTTTGATTACTTTTTATTTTATTTAACTTCTTGACATACATTTTTATAAATTTTATTTGAAGGTCCTACATATTCATCACATGTCACAATTATGACAATTCATCTGAAAACAACAACAACAAATAAAAAAAAATGTTCTTAATGACTTTCTCCAGTAATTGTACTGGTAGAATTAATGTTCAGAGGATTACATTATGGTTTGGTAAAAAAAGTTTATAATAAAAGACTCCAGGCCTCGAGCTGCATTTTCATTTACAAATGTAAGTCTGTCATGAGCAGTTTCTGTTTAAAGCACATGAAACGTTTTTAACAGAAGCTCACACGTACTTTAGACCAGCCGTGTGCATAAAGCTGCAAACTGCTGTGACCCTCAAAAGGGAGAGCAGGGAGTGATTTGTACGCAAGTTCAACTCGTGTAAATTGAGCAACTGGCTGTAGTTTAGCTGCTCAGAGCTTTGCATTTTCAGCTTGTGTTGAGGAAACTTGGATGTGAAGTCAAACGGCTTGGAAAATAGAAAAATACGCTTTTTCTACAAAAACACAGTATGAATGCTGAAATCTGCTGAAAAAACTGAAACTGGTTTAAAGCATGAAAAGCAGAAGTGTGGCTAAAAGACCAAAGCAGAATGTTAAATACAGGTAGGAAAATGTTGGCTAAAAGTAATAAAAGGCTGGCTAAAAGTAGCTAAAGGCTGATCTAAAGCACAAAGCTGCCAAAGGCTGGCTAAAAGTAGCTAAAGGCTGATCTAAAGCACAAAGCTGCCAAAGGCTGGCTAAAAGTAGCTGTAGGCTGACTATTAAGTTCAAAGTAGCCAAAGGCTAGCTAAAACTAGCTATAGGCTGACCCAAAGCTAAAAATGGCCTAAAACTGGCAAAAAGAAGCTAAAGACTGACAAAAGCTAAAAGTAGCCAAAG